GGATCGAAGGAATAATTGGAGGAACGGAAAGCTTGGCTGAGGGAAATTGAAGAGAGACGGGAATGGAAGACGGAAGGGAGATCGTCGAAGGAAATTGAGTCGAACGAGAGCGAACGATCGTGGAATTCCTTGGAGCCGCCTGTCCGAGGAGAATCCATCGCTCCTCGAAGTATTTCTATTCTCTTTGCCAAGTATTTTCATTCCGGCTCGCTTTTCCTCCGAGTCGACCGATCGAAGAGAAAATTAGTTTTTCTCAACGTTGTTCGAGTGCTACATTCGAGAGATAAAAAACATGGAAATATCGAGCAGAGGTGACGGTAAGAGTTCCAAGAAGAGGACAATTGTTGGAGGATCGGAAAGATGGTTGGAAAGCGTTTCGGTCGCGTTCGAATATTTTACATTTTACGCGGCGATCCTTCGTTTCGGGGTGAAAACGAAGGATCCCTTGTTTGTTTTACGCGTAGGTCGATTGTTCGGTCGACCAAACAGAGGCTAAACAAGGAAGTGTATCTGGTGGCTGGTAAAAGGACTCGTTCGCCAACATGGAGAGGCTCGTTTACACCAGTCGCCAGCAGCTTCTCGCCTTTTGTCTCCCCCTTTCGGAGATCCTTCCTCTCTATCCTTTCCATTTCTCCCTTTTTACGTTTCTTCTCGTTTCGCCGAAACGGGGCGTGTTGTATACATACGGTTTGTACAGGGTCGAAACGTTGCATTCTTCGGAGATAGCAGGTCGGTGTCGTATCCCGCGACCGCAGCTCGAATTTGGAACAAGGCCGATCTAATGCCGCGGACAATGTTAACTGATGAGCGAACCTGGACCCGTTGCAAGAACAATGCAGTACGAGGAAAACAGAGGAGAAAAAACAATGGGCTCCCATTAGCATCTACCTGAGTCTCTCGGGTCTCTTCTGGCTCTGGCCCCCTTTTTCTCTTTTCTCTCCTCTCCTGCCTCTCGAATCCTGCAGCCCTTGTTTCTTTCTTCAGACTGCAACTCTATTCACGGAGAATCGCTCCTCCCGATCGTTTCACGGACTTTTAAACCGTTTAAATAAATTCCGATTTTTCAACTATCCTTACGCGATGCGTTTTACTAACCGAGCGTGAATTGCTAAAAATTTTCCAATCATCAGAAAAATATTTCTAAACTTAAAGAAGTTGAATAATTTGAGCGATTGTTTATTTGATTAATTTGTTACTCTATAAAGGAAATAATCGAATTTCGATGCGAATGCAGGACGTTTACGAAGTAGAGTTAGAGAGTCGAAACTCGAGGAGAGCTCGAAGGTGCAGGACGGTCCCGATTTGCGGTCAAGATTGATGCGTTATGGCCAGTAGGTTCAGATGAAACTGCCAAAGAAGACGAAGTGGTCTTGGTGGTTGGAGGGGGGGCCCCGTAGCCGAGCGCGAAGGGTGTCTTTTTAACGGAGCAACGCGAACGTACCCCTGGCAAATGGACAGGAGGAGGTGCCGATATCTCGAGTGTAATTTATCACCGTGCTAGGAGCGAGCAGAAACGGGTAGGATAGTCGCCGAGGACGGGGGCACCGGGCCCCAGCGCCAACGTTTACAGGCAACTAAACAGCGAAATAAAGAGAGGAAAGACGCGAGCCGAGAGAAGAATCGAGCAAGTTGCTCGGGCCCGGCCCTCATTACCACGCCCACGGACTTCCTAGTCATTATCTGGTGGTTCCAATAGCGAGATCGAATTTCATCGTGGATTCCAGAACGGGCATTCCACGGCCTGATAATCGGTCTTCCTTTCGACGGATCCTCTTGCGAGCAATCGGTCTACTTCTGTCATTAAGGGGGGCACGTCTGCCTACCAGGATCAAACAAACACGCATCTTAATGAATTTCTAGTCATTTTTTTTACTAGGCATACCATGAGATATATGGAAGACATTATTTTTACTCATTGTCAGTGGCATTTTGTGGTGACCCTGGATTATTGAAGATGAGAAATTTCAAAAGGAGTTATAAAGGAGAGACGAGAGCTTAGTTTGGAGATTTTCTTCAGGAAAAAGAAAGGTGAAAAAAAAGAATCGAATGGTACCGAGACGAACGACAAGGGATCATCGAGGCGAAAGGTATCGGGAGGGGCTAAGCAAACTAGAGGGTTCCACTCGGGGGCTGGATGTAAATAATTAAAGAGGTCCGGCGAAAACAAATATATTGTTTCGCGCAGTGTGATAGATGATGTTGCTTATTCAGCGTCCTGGATGAAGAGAAACGAGTGGTAGACGAGAGGAGCAAGAAGAAAGATGGCGAAGAGCAAGAGGAATAGGAGAAGAACGGAGAAGTTTGGATCTCGGTAGGCTTTTAGGACGTTAGGTGGACCGAGGAGAGGGTTCAAGGGCGTGCTGGACGTTTCGAGGGAAGGATGGCGAGGCAATTAGGAGACTCAGCAGGGTGCCAAAATCTTTGCCCTCTTCCTCGTCCCTCCTTCCTCGTTGAACCACCTCCTACGCCCTCTGCTTTTACTTCTATCTCCCTCTTCTCCTCCCACTCGCCTCCTCCTTCCCCCTGCTGTTTTCTATTTTTTTAAATCAATTCGAACTCGAAACGTTCTTCTTCCTCCTTTCGTTCGAATCAGGAAGAATAAGCATTCCTGACCCACCCTTCGATCGACCCAACCCAAAACGCCCTTTTGCGCCCACGCTCCTTATTAATTAATGCAAACCGGTGACTACAGATACAGATAGACCGGACATGTCTTTGTTCTCGAAGGGTCATGATTCTGGGGATTCCAAACACCCTCAGATGAGGCAATTGCGATTTTTCATTTTGCAACTTTGTAACGTAGTTCGGAAACCCGGTTTTTCTTTTTGCAACATTGTTAAGCATGATTTCGTTTCATTTTTTTGCGAAATTAGTTAAAATCAAAAACTTATTAAGATAATTATTTGACGAACAAAGTTGTAGCTTAAAAAGACCGCCATAAACTAAACATTTTTGAAATTCGACCCTATTGCCATCTATTCAGAAACGGCTCAAACTACTGATGACTTAACAATCGATTTTCCGAAACACTTGCGCGATCTATCGGAATATGTCTGAAATTATTACCGACTTATAGACTGATCGGTAATTTGCCAACTTATCGATCATTCCCCGGGAATCGTAAAGTTGCTCCGTAGTTTTCGTTATTACTCGATAGAGAAAAGTTAGTGTTCCGGTGTTTTAGAAAATCGATCGGTAAGTTGTTGAGTAGTTTCAGCCCCTTTTTTATACATGGCATTTTTTTTTTATTTATAAATTAGTCAAAAGCAGCACAAGACTGAACAATTATTATTATAATTGTTTGACAAACTTGTATTCACTTCATGCACCTTGGTAAATAAATCATGTTAAAAAAGCAACTGTGTCATTATTTAATTTACCACGCGAATTGCGAGCCAAGGAGTGCGGACCAACTTATCAAACATACATATACTTCTAACTTCCTTTCGCAGTTTATTTAATTTACTTTATTTATTTTTTCGCTTATTAAATAAGTTCATCAAAGAGAAATTAAATTTATGATTTTATCCGTCTTCTGGGCTTCGGCCGACTACCCCTTTTATTTATTACTACTTTCATTTATTTATTACTACTTTCATTTATTTATTACTTTCTAATTTTTAGAAAGAAATTAGATGATTATTATACTGGTTGTGCCCTCTACATACGGGCCTGATTTCATCCTGGGGTGTCAGGGACCCCGAAGCACAGATGGCGCTCTCTGCATACCGACCTGACTCCATCTTGGGGTGTCTGGGACCCCGAAGCACCGTTGACTCTCTCTCTATATCGACCTGATATCGTCTGGGGTATCAGGGACCCCGAAGCTAAAATGTGCGACCCATAAACTTTCTATAGACACATCGGTTGCGAGGTGAGTCACTATATAATCTAGGGAAGTTTCACCCATTAAATTAGTGTTCTTTATACATTAATTAATGAAACTGTGACTATTGCGGAAAAATTACGCGATTGGATCAACAATTGTTGACGCTGATAAAGTACGCGACGATTATACCGACGGTAGGTAATACCGACGGTAGGTAATACCAACGATAGGTAATACCGATAAGTGAAATATAAAAACGAATAGCAAAATATAAGACCTAAAAACGAACAAATCGTGAAACAGGGAAGTTAAGATAGCGATAGATACGACCGCAAATTTTTTATATTTTTGTTAGATTTGTAGTCACTGCGTGCAATCTTAGCAGATTTCAAGAAAGAACAAGCTTTTTAAAAAGGGGAAGTTTTATTTTAGTATCCATCAATTATACTCGTCCTAATTCCTAATTATAGGAAATATGAATAAATTTCTTGCGTATTTTAAACTTCGGTGATAAGGAATAATTTTCAATAATTAAGCGCACAAGTGAATGCAATCCTTAGAACCAAATTGTAAAAGTATATATTTTATTACTCATGGTAATTTGGTACCACATTATTGAGTCCTATACCTGCGGTCTGCAGTCTTTATGCACGAATATTAAATAATTAATTAGCCACTCGTCCTGTATAATTTAATACGCTGAAAATAGAGATCCTATTCGATATGTTTTCTAGATGATCAATAAATGATCGTTGCTTGACATCATCAAGTTATATCGATGCAACAAACTACTTTTTGTTTACGTTACCCTGACGACACTGGTACGAGTCAGTTATCCCCAGACCCACCCCAGTTTCGTGGGTTAGGTGTTTAATCAACGCTAACGAACGCAGAGAAACGGAACGCTACACGCGAATCACAATTATTATCCGGAATTTTTTATTAATCCTGTACAAAGAAGTGTTTGAGCTAAAATTTAATACAAGAAACATGGCTACCAGAACGGATATATGCCGGTTGTGCAACCGTGGCCCTCACTCCTACAAAATACCATCGGAGGAGCCAAAGAAAAGGGAAACGTACACCTTCGTCAAAAGTCCAAGAGCAATTCTGCATATCCAGAAAAAATATCGGAACCCGCCCACGTAAGTTCTCTTAAAATTATTATTCTTTATACAATAGAAATAACAAAATCAGTTATGAAATCGCTGAAAAATTAGGGGTAAGCGTCGACGAATCATGCAACAGTCTGTTCCTCGTAAGAAAAAGTTTTATCACATCATGAGATTACTTACGACACGAAAACTACTGTAACTTTACGTACGATAAGGTGTCACCCTGTCAAATGAATGGTCTGAAACCATACTTATTGCTTCATACTCCACGTTCATGCAATTTTCATTGCCTTTCATGTATGGGTGCAAGTGATCTTTACACAGTGGTTTATTGCTCAAGACAAATAGACCTTGATAATTCAACCATTCGTACATTACGCAAATCAATCTCTGGTCAATGTCATTTCTGCTGCAAATACATTGACCAGAAGATGGTCACTTCCCCTACAATTCCCCTTACCAAGGGAAACCATCGATGCTAATGGGTGTACGTTAACACTCGACTAATCCTTTTCACACGTTTTACGTGTGAAGTATAAAAATCTATACCTCCCTTCCTTCAAGGCCAACCTGCAGTATAATTGGAAATAGCGACAAATACTTTACACTCAGCAACCAACGATTGGACAGCGAAATATTTCTAGCGTTTCGCGAAAACAGTGTCAAGGAATATCATTGACAATCGATCCGTACAGGAAGCAGTGGCCAAGATGTAAGCACGCGATTAGACGAAATCACGCAATTAGAACGTAACCATTAGTTTCTGCTCTCGGGTGGCGAAAGAAGAGAGGGTGGCAAAAGCTAGCAGAGGCGAAACGATCGGTGAAACGTTTCACCTTGAAGAACTTCGACACGGAGGGGGTCAACCGCGTGCTCCGGAACAAGTTTCCCTGTACGCCGTTCAACGATACACGAACGGACATACGTGGTCATAGCTACCACCGATTTCGAACCCTTTTGCATCACTTAGGCATGCGCAAAGTTCACGCTGGTCAACGTTATTGAGTGGCCGCTGGGTAAAAATATACGTGTAGCCCGTCTACCGTCTATGTCGGTCGATTCTAAGGACATTGTCCAGTCTGTGAACTCGCGGGCGGCGTTGCGAGCCGGTTAGTAATGCCGTGGACATCGCGCAACCCTCCTCGTCGCTTTCCTTCGCGATCGTTTTCCTCACCGTCGAATCATTTCCCAAATATTCACTGCGAATCATTACATACAAATCGCGAGACAATGCTCTAAGTGTTCGTTCTCGGATATCTTCAAGTACAATGTTATAATAAATCGGTGAAAATTTAAGAAAACGTGTTTGAAAGGTGTGAAAAACACGTTGGAGGTATGAAATAAAAAGATTTGTCACAAGTTTTCTCCTGGAATAATTCAAAAAATAATTACATCAACGTTGGTGATACACAGTCGTCTGATATTAGACGGACCGTTTCTACTTGAAGGAGTTCAACCGTTCCAGGATGGTGATCCTTTCCACTTAATCTTTCCGGCTCGACGGTTTTCACAGCCAAAGGGATTTCGGTGTATTAAAATGCACGACGAGGGGGTTTCTTTGAAAATTTGCTGAAGAGGAAGGGAACATGCCTGCTGGAATTACCGCCTTGCCACCAGCTACCAACGTAGATCATTTCAACCTCGAACGAAAGGATCATCCAGCGTTCACGATCCTTCAGAAGGACGGTCTGGACACGAGTCTGCCTCTTCTGCACGTGAACGGCGACGACGTTTCGAACGGATCGGAAGTCCACGGACTCGAGAGCGTCGGGAACAACCTGTTTGATCGGAAATGTATCAGCAGATCGAACGACCATCTGCTTCAAGCCGCGCTTCAATACAATCAAACGAATCCGTTGAAGAAGAAGCCGAGAAGCCGAAGTCAAGACAGCGCGCGTTCGTCGGAGAAAATTCCGGCCATTAAACCGAGCATCACTTTGTCGACTGAGAACTTCAACGAGGTTTTGAACGCGAAATTGAAGAAACTACAGGAACAGGAGAGGCAGGAACAACGTAGGTGCGGGAGGAAGAACGAGAACCTCGGTAGGAAACCGTTCATCAGCACCGTGAAAACCGGAGAATTCCTGATGCCGCCGCCGGAAGTGGCGGCCTTACTTGGCATCGCACCACCCGCGAACGGCAGCAACGAAATCGACGTTTGCCCTTTGCGGTCGAGATTCAAATCCCTCGTGTCGCTGGCCAGGAGGCCGGAAGTACGTCACAGCAGCCACAATGCCAGGTGTCCGGCCGCGCTCAAGGCCACCGTCGACTACACCCTCGGAATGATGAACGCGACCACCATCGCTGCATCGACCTTGGACGACAGGGTGAAAACGATCAAGAGAAACGACTCGACGTAAGTTACGAGGCTCGACGGTAAATCTGACAAAACGAAGCGAGGGAACAGGGCAAATATTTTCCACGATAATACCTTACGAAGGTCTAAAAAGACAAGTATGTTAGAAGAAAGCGTAAATCGTTTTATTGCGTGCACGAGAGAGAAGATTATCAGATGCAATTTCGTGCGGCCAGATTCTAGCTACGCTTAAACACGTAACATTATAAATGAGGATGTTAGAGCGTGAAATGATTTTTCGACGCTCGTTCAAAAATTTTTCAGTTACAAATTATTCTCGTACGATTTTCTTACAGCGATCAACCGATTCCTTTCGGGAATATCATGTTTGATCGTCGGGTCGTTCGCGGAAGTACCTGCGCGACTGCCCCTATTCTCGTAAGTAACGAACGAAAAGTCTCTCGAAACCGAAGAAAGAAAGTCTGATTCGTAGGTCGACGGAGATCAATCGTTAGCAGCCAGGCAAGCGGAAGCTAGGCGAAGAAACCTGGCGAGAAAAAGAGCGCAAGCTCAAGCGTCAAAAGCGCTCGTCCTTCGAAAAGGTTCACCGCCTCCGGTTCCGGGTCGCAAACACGAGCCAGTGCAAACGGACCTCTTTCTCGAGGAGGTAATTACGATACGATCATATCTTTTTTCAATAATTAAAATTACGAAATCATATTCGATAGCTATCGGAGAAACCAGAGGAATCGGAAGTCGGAACGCAGACCGATTACTTCTTAGACAGGCCTCCGACCCCCGAATACTGTCCGCCGAAGGTTGGCGAAGATGTTTGCACGCAAATCGAACCCGGTGATGTAAGTGTAAAATAATCTCCAGTCGATTCATTAACAAAATTTATAAAACCTACAGCTGTTCGACTTCGACTTCGAAGTGCAACCGATCCTCGAGGTACTCGTTGGGAAGACGATGGAGCAGGCGTTGATAGAGGTCCTCGAAGAAGAGGAAATCGCTGCTCTAAGAGAGCAGCAAAGGAAATTCCGAGAGTTACGCGCTGCAGAGAATGCAGAAGCCCGAAGATTGGAAGAACAGGAAAGAAGAATCAGAGAAGAAAAGGTTTGCATACTTTTTCGTTTAATCCTACGATGATTCTCTAATTTATTAAATGATCTACAGGATCAACGATTAAGGCAACACGAGAAAGCGATGGTGGCTCAGAAGGAAACGGAAGAACGAATCGCGGCGGCGACTCTTTTAACAGGATACATTGCCGAACTTCTTCCGGCTGTTCTAGAAGGGTTGAAAATGTCTGGATTCATATTGGACGAGATCAAGGCTGGTTCGTGAACTCGCAAGAACACTGCTACTTTTTGTGAATTAGTTAGTCAGAAAGGTTTATCAATTATTCTTTGTTTTATATCATTTCTACCTTCGTTGCTACTGGGTTTACGGTATCGAACGTATCTCGAAGAAATTCATAGAAATTTGAAATTCATTATTTTTATACAGATGTCGAGGAAGGTTTTGTACCATGGTTGATGAAAGAGGTGAAGAAGGAGATGGGCAACATGATCGAGAGTAGAGAACTACTGATGGGTTAGTACGAATTTTCTTCGTGTCATTTTGCAGGTTTACTCGAGAATTTGTTATAAACTTTGCAAGAATCTGCCACGCGATGTGATTTACGCTAGCTATCATTTCGACAGAGGATTTATAGAGGTGTCGGTTACACCGAAGGAAAACGTCCCTTTGTGCGTTAATCCTGTCGTGCTGTTAACAGTTTTATCGTGGAAGGCTTTGTCACGTCGTAAAAGGAGAAAGAGCTGTATTACCGTTTCATTATTATTCCTTTCGAAACAGAAGGCCATGAATGGCGAAACGAATAGCCGTAAGGTCCCAGGTACCCCCTCGATGACCACGATCTGGTGCCACTCTGTCGCGAAATTTCAATCGTTCCTTCCAACAATTTTTCAAGCGCTACTTTCAATTATAATTAAAAAATTGTTAATACACAAGCTGGCTGTGTATTCAAGTTTTCATGTAACGTTTCAGAAATCGTCAGAGAGATTCTGGAGAGTCGTGCGGAGACTTACAGAAAACTTGGCGAGGAGTACGATGCGTCGAGGATGAAACCGTCGACGGAGCATGTAGAAGGTGGTGGCAGCGATCCAAATTTCGTGAATTATCAACCCCCAGTTATAGAAAACACAGACGCCGTTTAAAATACTCTTTGTAAGTATTATTATAATAATTTTAGACGAAAATAATTGATCCTCCTCGGTTAACAAGTTAGCAAATAATTCTAATAATCGTCGTCTCATTGTCATCGTTTCATTTTCTTTTTTTATTCACATTAGAGAATTCGTTTGCCAAGGTTTTAACGCTCGTTGATCTTCGAAAGTAGAAACGAGCGTATCATAGTTAGCTTTCGGATTTAAGAACACCTTCACCAGAGGAGCAATCCCCGGTCCCACTGGTTTCTACATTAAGCAGTGTACACAGCTGCGAAACAAATCCATCTCCTCCAGTCGCGCCCCCGTGACAGGTCACCGCGTTTGCGATCCCCATGGCAAACACCAACCACCACCACCATGCCACCGCGTCCCAGACAAAAATCCATCAGAAATTAATTATCCATTTTCTTTCAATCTGAATTAGAATAAAATCCCCTAAAAATTTTAAATGACAAGCTGTTTTCGAATATATCCGAATTAATTAACACAAGTTTGTTAATTACTTACAGATTCGTCACGAATCAAGGAGAAGATGAAATGGAATTAAAAGGAGCGATTCAAATTAAGAGAAGACCAATAGTGATTCGACGCAAACATTTAAAGTAATCCAAAATAAATGAAATTGTTTAATATTATTTTCCTATGTCCTTTTTTCTTTCACTCCTGTGTATATTTTCCTTGGCTAAAAATTACACGATTTGGGAAAAAATGAGCGTGTCGATGTTAGTTATTATAGAAGGAATTAAGGTATTTGTGCTCGGATGGCGGGTTACTTGTCTTCGTTGGTTTATCTTTTGGAGGTATCGTACACGGAAGAGCAGCTGAAGTGACACTGGCGAGATCGAAAATACGAATCGGTTCCTAAAATCGTCGAACTTTGTTTTACTTCTCCCACCAGTGTCTGTTATTTCGGTTTAGAAGAATCCGTGGTTCGGGAAAAAGGAGCACGCGACTCGAGCAGAATTCGAACCAGCAAAAATTTGTAAGATGTATCTCGAATGAAATGTTAAAACTCGAAAGTGGAAAATGGAAAATTTGAAAATTTCTAGGTACGCGTGTTCCCTTAGCGTTACCCTAATAGAAGCTCGTCAAAAGGTAAAAAGGTAAAGTAATTACAGAGATCTAATAAAGATTGCACGTAGCGCGAGTGCAAATAAAAGGCATCGAAGCTTCTGAATCATAGCTTCCGGTCAAGAAGTTCGCCGACGAGAGGTCTGAGGTACGGTAAAGTCTGGCGCCTTCGGCACCTGCGTTCTACCGCTTGCCTTAGTATTTATTAGATTGCTTCAGACCTGTACGTACCTGTCTCACCGAGGGCTCAAGATCTAATCAAAAAAGGTGCCTATTACCGAAGGAAGACGTCACAGTCCGCTGCGTACAGATAATACCGAAAATGAAACCTCGATTTTCCACGAAAATTTTACAATGGACGAACCATTCATCGTATCGGACTACAGAAACTAAACAGTACATGGAACTAAAATGAATGTAGGAAGGAATAAAGAAATTCAATCAACCTCCTCCCTGAAATGTAGATAAGATTGGTCGGTACACCGCGAAAGTAAAAAACCTGTCCAGCCAAATCAGGATTAGATCGATCATAATAGGATAAGGTTTCACGGTGAATTGAGATCGGTACAGTTTTAAAAAGCCACCCACCCTCTTAAACGCACCCTTTCCAGCGGTGAACGACAAGGTGAGGGGAGCCATATTGTATTGGATTAAATTAAGCGGGAGGTTCATCCCGAGATACCGTACGTATTATATGCAGAAAACTTGTGTGCCAAGTGAGTCGTGTTTTTCGGGGAGGCTAAAGAAGGGGTACAGAGGTGGGTGCTGTTCTAACAGTGGGGTGTCTGCGTTATTTTATCATGTGACCGGTGTCACCTGCGTCTATGCGTGATTTACTCTGCCAATATTGGAAATTAGATTAGAAAATAGTCTTGTAAATTTATAATCCGCACAAAATTTATTTCCTTTTATTTAAAAAAAATATATATTCAATTAATGCTAGGCTAATGGTAACGAACAGTGTTAAGATCGAGGCAATAGCTTATTCTATGGACCATGCGGTGTGCTCGTAGTAACTCTTAGAATTGACTGTTAAAATCAAGCAAACAGTGGCTAATGGTTAAACAGGAATCCGAGTACGGGGTGCACGGTTCTTTGCAATGGTGTTATGGTGTATTCGAGTGGCACGTGTCGCGTTACACGGCTCTCGGTTTCGAGAGACGCGGCAATATGTCGACGGCACGTGATCGAGACTAAATTTTTGACTGCGGAAAGATTACATTAAGCACCCCATTCCTATTCAATTATCGTCGATTAAATTTAAGCTGTTTTAAGAAATTTATTGAATCCTTTCTGGAATTCGCATTAAAGAGAAAATTTCTAAATGTACATACTCCCTTAAAATTTCTTTTATAAAACAAAGTTACGTCTATAGATAATAACAAATTAGATAAAAATTAGGATCAGTATACTAGCGACGAGCATTGACAAATATTAATAATACATAAGACAGTGTCTCGTTGGAAGAGCCATTAGGGGTAAACTTTTGACACTTGCAGAACCGAGACGAATCACCTTTATAGTCAGCTCTCCGCAAAGGCGACCATAATTCAGACTTCTACCCCGCAGTATCCAGGGTGGTTACGTGTTATATAGAATCTCGTAAAAGGGCACCAAACAATAAGATTTGTTACGTCGCTGCGCGTCGAAGGGGTCGGTGTCTGCTTAAAATCGAAAACCGGAAGGCTCGGCTTTTCTATCGAACATAAATACTCGTCGTCTAATGATTAAACAATACGCTGATTTCAAAGAGAAATCATTGCCGTTCACTCGATATCGCTTGATCGATAGCGATTTAGAAATTTGGCAAACAATTTCAGTGCAGGGTTTCTTTCACAAAGAATAGTATAATTGATAAGGAAGGTTGACCCAAACTGCATAGGCGGACAAGCCAAAAGGGGGTGGTTCTTGCAGGCTTATTTTGAGCAACGCAGGAGGGAGGAGCGATAATACGTAGATGATAATCGCGATATTAATATCGCATTGGGAAGCGCGCACATGCGTGCAAGGGCCCATTGGTCACGGCGGAACACTTGCTCGCTAGCAGGCCCGCGGTTCTTTCAATGCACCCCGATTTTAGAAAGAGACAACCAGAGGGTGGAACCCCAAGCCGAGATGCGGGCAAAAACAGAATTTTATCCGAGAGTTGTGGCCAGATAGGTATTTCCTATTTTGTTTATGTCGAAAAACGTACCCAGTGTGACAATGAAATTTCTATTACATTTTCAACCACCCATGATAATTTTAATTTCAATTTTAATTTTAATTTTGGAATTGAACAATTTTCTATAAGCAATGTCTTAGATTCATGATAGACGGACGGAACGTGGTTAACAAATTAGGAAGAATAAAATTTTCCAGCAGATTTTCCAGCTCTTGTTTACCACCGGCGAAGCGTGCAAAGGGCTTGGAACACTTGCCGTAGCTTGCTTTGATAGGGCAACGAAGAATGGCGAAACACTCGTGGTCGAATTTCGAGGGACCTGGAGAGGGGTTGGTACAGGGGATGGTGCAGCTTGTGAACACTCGTGTCATTCCCTGGTCCGGCACCATTCACCCCCCGGATGAATCACGTCACCCGTACAGGATCCACCAAGAAGAACCATACCCTTCTTCTGGTTTTCCTTCGAGCTTGCAAATATCTCCTAATCTCTATAATCTTTTCCATATTTGAAAGCATTTTCTAACACTTGAAACGGCCACGTTAAGTGCGTCGCAGAGAGATCATTAAACTTTATCTCAGCTAATGCTCGATCTCTAATACTAAACTAAATCGCTAGAATGACGTAAAAGTCTTTAAACCAGAATTAGATAAAGATCAGCGTATTAAGAAGTTCGAGTAACGTTAAGGAACAGGCAGTTGGTACTAGCAATTAGTGTAGGTTACCTGTAAATGCGTAATTGTGAATGCTAAGGAGCAAAGTATTAGCCGAGTCATTAGGGGAGGTTTTTCGGTCAAGGTGCAACACAATGAAGAAAAGGTTGCAGGGAAGAATCGTCGGGCAAAAAGGAGGACGGTACCAGGAAATTGGGATCGTGCGTTTCATCACGTACGCTCATCTTAAAATTTAGGCAATTAATTAAAGAAATAGAGTTCCAGACTTTTTAGGCTATTTCAAGATCTCCTATCCTAATTATATATCTTTTTACCTTCAGAGGTTAATGCAAGCCACTGTAGATAATTTCTATCGAAAGAAATGGAAAAAAGGTACTGCGGTCCGTCGAGATCAATCGAGATCGAGGGAGAAGATTGAGATCGACGGACGATTAGGCAAATCCATGCAGGATATCGCGCGATCACGATCTACGCACGCTTGCGAGAAGAATGAGCCACTTAATTTCCTAATCAAGCGTTGATTCAGATGCACCTTTCGCCAGGATCCCTCGTCCTCGACAGGACACGCATTGGTTTGCAGCTGAGCCAAACAATGTCCTTTCACATGAGGCTTTTATAGCCCCATCAAGCACACATCCAGCCACCGTAGCCACTCCTGGTGACGGCTCCACACGAGACACGATGATGAAAACCTTCGACGAGAAGGTACACACCACGATGAGTTTCTATGATTTCCGAAAGCGTTCGAAGTCGAAGAAACCAAGTAGAAGGTAAAATCTTGCTAATAAGAGGGGTAATAACAGAAGCAACCAACTAGAACGTACCCTGACGCGTTAAGAAAGGGTTCTTACCTATTCAGGACCTTTTTCCAGTGAATGGTACCATTTGAAAATACGGGACACGAATACGAGAGACAAAGTATTTTTAACAAAAAAAAAAAACAATTAACCCTTTGCAGAATTCTTTAGAAAATAAAATTTGCCAGTTCTTAGAAAAATTTTAGACAATTGCTGTTAATTTATCGTAGAATAACCTGCAACCTGTTGGATAGAATTGCAAAGGAATTGTACAGCGTGGAAACAATCGAATGACATTAATATTACAAAAGGAATCAATGTATTAAGGGTGCATTGGTCGCGAGGTACCGGTATCTTTCGTTGTACCGAGTTACGCTTGAACACTTCTGAATGAAAACGCAAGTTCAGACAGAAACTGGTTAAAATGGGCCAGACAATCCGGCGCCAGAGAAAGAACAATTTCAATGTTGCTGTATCAATGGCACTTTACCTGATTCATCCCTTGCTCGTGCATCCGTGACGCTGGGACTCGTACCTGCGACGGTCTTAGGTATATTAGCGAGCACCTTCTTCGGCGATCCTGAAGAGCGGTTTTGTTTTCAAGATCGTCGTACCGCCGTGGGTAGTAAAGCAATTCATGCGCAACGACGTTCTGGGTGACTGATTTTTAACCGAATTCGTGGTATTTCGAATCAAACAGTCCAGCTATCCTATTGATTAGTTACTAGGAAAATCGTCATACTCCGTTGAGCACGAGCTTTGTGTTTCTTAACCTGACAATGAAACTGAACGCGTTAATAAGTTAACTGTAAACTGGTGGATACGTGACTTTAACAATGTACTCCAAGCTTGAGAAATTTACTAGATATCGATAAATAATTATTTTAACCAGAAGCAAATTATTTTTTAATAATTTCATCATCTGTATAGTGCATTGATACATTCTCCTGAATTTTCTATTCTAATTTAGAATAGAATAGAC